GATTTGATTTCTCTTCAGTTTTTCTTTCTCCTATCTTAAAGGCTTTTTGTTGAGGCTTTAGTAAACCTCTTTTGTAAATCAAGTAATAGTCATTATCCAGATCAGTCTCTTGGGTTGTCATTTCTATTTTCACTATCATCTTGTTTTATAATTCACATTTTGAAACAATTTCTTTATATTCTAATATTTCTGCATCAGATGAGATTTATTTTCAATTCTTTATCATATAGATCTTCCAAAGTATTCTCTTTCACATCACAATTAACTATTTTAATTTTTCATTCCATACCCCATTTTGCAAGTTGTCTTAATACAAGAATAAGAATGATAGAAGATAGCATCCTATTAATTTCTTAACCTTTCTTTTTATTAAAAATATCTCTTAAAAGAGTTTAACATTTGCATTTATCTTCATTCTTGTCTAATTCCTAATAAATAATTTAACAATTCATTATAATCTTTTAAACTATATCATTATTATTTAAACAGTGGTTAAAATTACCAGAAATGTTACACAAAATAGAATACAAAATCTCTATAATGGATTAAGACCCTGCATACTTAAGAATGGTTTGGGAGTGCAGTACTTCTTGTTGTGTTTAAAATAGCCCAACATTTATACTTTGGGGTCTGAATTCCCCACCCTCCCAAGTGCTATTGCATGAACAGTTACATTAACGTTACCAAGAGGATTCTTTAGAACAGCAGCATTTTATATATGTTTCAGGCTCCTGTTAAAGCACACAACACTATATTAACACTGGCTAATCCTGAAAAATATTTATTAGTATTTAATAGCCACCAAGCAAATTAAATCAAGTTTTATCACCTGGGAGTAAAATTTCTGATAATGGAGTAACAAACCAAGAAATCTATTTGTTATATTTTTATGGAAAGTATCACAAAAACATAATGTGGAATATAGCAAGAGTAGAATTCTGACATGTAAGTTTTCTATTCATCTATATTAGAATGTTGTATATTAACAAGTTTATATTAGAATTGTAATCAGAGCTAAAATAGATTAAGAGGTTTGTTTGATATAAGGGTTTACATTAGCTGGTGGTTTACTGGTTTTAAATATGTGTTTAGCTATTTCATATAATAACATAGTTTGTGAGGCAGCTGCTAGTCATGTGAGGCCTTCTTCTGGTCTTGTGAGAAAACGACTGGAAAGCCTTGTGTGGCCAACAGCTGTTCACAAAATGCCAGGCCAAGCATGCTTGATCAACAGTAGGAGCTAGAAGATGGTAAAGATTAGCTAGGGTGGTGGAGTGCAAGGTGACATAAAGACAAAGATGGGGGAGATAGGGGTTGTCATCAATGTAGACAGGCTGCCAAGCACCTGAAGTTTGATCATATGACCACAGGGCTGCTCCAAAAGTGATAACTTTGAGGACCAGGTGTAAATACCATAGGTTCAATGCTGTTGTAACTTGGAATGGTTGCTGAACAATTTGTTTGTATAGAACTCTGTCCCATCTCTTCTTCATGGTACATTATTTATTAGAGCTACAGTATGCAAATATTCCAAAAGAGGTGCTTTAAAAAAGGAGAAGTGCTATGAATCCCTTCTCTGAATAATTAAAACAGTGGCATCTTTTTCCAGGTTCATGTGACAGTTTCATAAATTCGTCGTGGCTTTCTCTGTGTGCATAGTTTAGAAAAAAATGTCACTACTTTAATGACTGAAAGAGAAGTGTTTTGCATGCTATCCTGAGTACTGGATTACAGAGTACCACATTGGAAGCTTCATATATCATTAGGAGGGTGATAGGAAAAAATGGTCTAGTCACACTATCTACCTTTAATGATAATTAAATATTAAGATATCAGCTGGAGAAGGTTACTATGACATGGAGATAAATAGCACACCTTATTAATATCTGCAGATCTTAGTTAAAGGTAAATATATTGTAAGCTATTGAACAACTGGCAAGTTTCCTGGATGAAGCTGTAGCTTGAAATGTGATTTGAAAAAAATTAGATAACAGCTATTATATATTTCTGGCATGTGCCTATATCTTTCAATGATTTCTAGTTCCTTATTTTTTCTATAGCTTAGTCTCTTCCTAGCATGGCTTTTGTATAATAATTTTGCTCCTAGGAAAATAATAGGTTTTTTGCTGTAAAATTTCTTCTAAAGGTATATTTTAAAGATTTTTTTCTTTGATTGTCAGTGAAATCATTTTCAGTGACAATTTGTTAGAGTTTAAAACAATTTTCCCAAACCTGATGCCCTCCAGATATGTTGCAATACATCTCCAATAAAATATCTTGAATTATGGAAATTGTAAAACAACTGAATAGTACTGGGTTGGAACAGACTGGCTTAAAATGTCCAATTGTTACTAAGTAATGGCTCTTAAAATATTTAAGTGGCATTTCAGTTGTATTGAATAACATTTTTGTTTATCGTTTCAGCTATGAAGTCTTACATTCCATTTTTCATTCTTCTGTGGAGTGCTGTTGGAATTTCAAAGGCTGCCAAAATAGTTATTGTGCCGCCAATTTTGTTTGAAAGCCATCTATATATTTTCAAGACCCTGGCTTCTGCTTTGTATGAACATGGCCATCAGGCTGTTTTCCTTCTGTCTGAGGGCAGAGAAATCCCTCCATCAAGTCATTACAGACTACAGCGATACCCAGGGCTCTTTAATACAACCACCTCAGATGAATTTCTTCATTCCAAAATGAGGAATATCTTTTCTGGGAGACTAACGGCAGTGGAGCTGTTTGATATTCTGGATCACTATTCCAAGAATTGTGACATGGTTGTGGGCAACAAGAAGCTACTGCATGCCCTGAAACAGGAAAAATTTGACCTTCTACTAGTAGATCCTAATGAGATGTGTGGATTTGTTATTGCCCATCTTTTAGGAATTAAATATGCTGTTTTTTCTACTGGCCTTTGGTATCCAGCAGAAGTAGGTGCACCTGCACCCTTAGCATATGTCCCTGAATTTAATTCACTTCTCACAGACCATATGAACTTCCTACAAAGATTTAAGAACACTATTGTTTATCTGGTTTCAAGATTTGGAGTCAGTTTTTTGATTCTGCCAAAATATGAAAGGATAATACAGAAGTATAATGTACAGCCAGCAAGGTCCATGTATGAATTGGTCCATGAATCCAGCCTGTGGATGCTATGTACTGATGTAGCACTAGAGTTTCCAAGACCTACACTACCAAATGTTGTTTACGTAGGAGGAATCCTGACCAAACCAGCCAGTCCTCTACCAGAAGTAAGGTTTGCTAAATTTTATTGTTAGAAAGATTGTACAACTTGAATATTATATGTGAATAGTTTTCATACTTATGTATTCTCAGGATCGTATTATTAGCATGCTACTTTATTTTCTTTCTTATATATTCCTTCTTTCTTCTGTGGTCCTTTTGTAAACAGCTCCAGAGAATTTGAGGGATTTTGATTTGGAGGAAGATGACATTCAAGACATCAGGAAACTAATGAACAGACCTTTTATGTTATATATTGTTCAACCAGCTGTTTACCACATTTACACATGAAGTCAAGCAACATCAAATTTCAAGTGTATTAATCAATACCTGATGGTTCACGCTGTTTGATATTTTAATAACTTTTATTTCAATAAGTTTAGAAAGCAGAAGAGCTTCAAGCAAAGTTAGTAAAAATTAATTGGTGTTCACTAAATCTATGAAAGGGGAGTTTAAGATTGTTTAAATATATGCTATATCTATTTATCATTAAGAGATATAGCTCTCTTAAACAAAATAGTGCAGTAAGTTGTAATTTGAATGATATAAATCACAAGGATTTGTTTGCTTTTTGGATCTGTTTTGTGTGTGTGTGTGTGTGTGTGTGTGTGTGTGTGTGATTCAGAAAATAATCTTATATTTTTAAAATGATGTGTGAGTCACATAAAACATTGAGACATTGTTTGCAGTTGCATTTGTATATGCTTTTTAAATAATAATGTGACTGTACTTTTGAAAAAAACATTTCAAAGGGTGCAAACAAGCGTTTTTCTTAATCATATTTTAGATGTAAATAGTCACATAATATAAAAGATAGCTTTTATAAACTCCAGAAAATTCTGATAATTATATCAGTGCAGTCTTGCTGTTTAGCAGTTATCCATCATACCTTTCTTGCCATTTCCTACTGTACCTGTTTTCTGCATTTAACCCACTTGCAAATATTTTCTCTTTCATCCAATGTGAATAGCAGCTGCTGATGTGCTTGCTCTTCATTTTCTTCAAGTGCTGAATTGAGAAAGAGAAATAAATACTTCAACCCTCCTACTTTGCCAGTGTTACTGAATGTTCTGATATTTTTTCTTCATTCTAAAAGTGGTGAAGTCCAAATTATAATAAGTAAATATCAGAATCCTAAACTAAGAAAAAATATCACAATTTAAATAAATTAAATTCTGTTTTTAAAGCTAGTAATATGGAGCATATGAATATAAGGGAAAAAGTTTGGAAAAATTAAGCAATGCAAACTCCATTGAATTGAGGTTTCACTGTAAATTAGTACTTATTTAAAGATTATACATTTTCTAAATTAAGAGAAGGTCAATATTTTTTCAGCTTTTCAGTTATATTTTTAAAATGTCTTTCTTTTTTTAACTGACAGAGGATTATGATAGAATGATATAGTGATTGCAAATATACAGCCAGAACGTTCAAAGTCAGAGGGATTTAAACTCTGCAAATTGAACTAAGGGATTCGTGTGGCTTGCAGGTCACCTGTTTTTTATGTAATTATAAAACAACTAATTATAGGCAACAGGATTTTCAGTAAGACTGATGCATACTTTTAATAAAATAGTTAATTTATTTTACTAAGCTGAGTTTGAACATATGGAACAAATGGAAGCAGCACTTTGTCAAATTGAATTTGTCAGAATATTCTTCTTTTGCTAATTTTTTTGTGAGAATGAATCTTATGAGATGGGTCTTTCACATCCCTGGTCAGGTCTGAATTTGGAAAAAGTCTAATATTAATTTCAAATCTGGTCAATTCATCTGTCATGAATTCATCTCTTTTTATCATTACAAGTTATTAATATGAATGAATATATAAGAACATTTTAGAAATCATTGAAAAACCAGCCCTGATTGAATCACATAGAAGTGTGTGTGTGTGTGTTATAAATGTCTGTCTTGTACGTATTGTTATCGTGTAATCCATGGGTAATATTTTTAGCCAGGAAAGTTAAATCACAAATGAGTTCTGTAAACATGCAGAACTATTCATATGCATACTCCTGCCTGTCTTAGAAACACCTTCCCTCTCCAAGGGAACATAGTTATGATAGCTATTATTTTTAGTGCTAAAGAATCTGTTGGACAATTTCAAAATATTGACATTTCAGTGTGATGCAAAGGGCTGGGGTATTTGAGAATTTTCCATCAATAGCAGCAGAGGATTGAATACTAGCAAATATAACAAATGTCATGAGATGATCAAGGCTTAAATAAAAATGGAGAATAAAATATTGTAAAGGCTCTATATTTGCCTGTCTGCAACGTGCACTCCTCCTTACTAAGCATACTGTGCTTTTGGAAAAAGCTATGTATTAAGGAGATATTTTCTTTTCTTTCCTTCCTTGTTTTCTTTGCATAAAACCCAAGTTTTTAGAAAGCGACATTGCTAAGAAGATGCTGTTTTCTTCAGCACCAAATTGGAAGTGATAGAAATCACTACTTAGTTATAGAAAAAAGAATAGTCTGTTTATTATTTTACAGGAAGTTAACAATGAAATTACATATTTATACAAATATCCCTCTGTGAAAATCTTACTCAAACAACTAATGGTTTGAATAAAGTTCAGTGATGAACACAAAAACTGTAGTTTGTTAGTAGGACACATGGATTGCTACCATTTGTCAAATGAAATCAGGAGACTGGCAATGTCTTTCTATCAGTGAAAAACAAATATGCAAGAATTATATAAACATTTATACTATGCTTTGATTAGTAATAAGAATTGTGTCAGGCTGATTTTTTAAAATGCAGTTTTTATAGACGTCTTAATAGTTATCCAGGTGTGTTTCTCTGAATCAACATAATTAAGTTTGAAGAGTGCTTGATAAGGTAATGCTTTTGAGTAAGTTAGCAAAAGTAAGGAAAACTGCTTGGAATTTTTAAAAATTGAATATTGTATTGATTAGTTTTTGGCTGGTCATCCCCATTAATTTATTTCACTACTCTCACCTGTAAAAAAATTGTCTACATGAAACCACTTCAGCTTGTTGGCAATTTTAAGGCAAAAAAAAAATCTGGATGATTTCATATTTGAAAGTTGATATTATAGAAAAATGACAATATTATTTTCATATTTACCTCTTGTGTACCTCTTGACAATCTTGGCACAAGAGAAGCGAGCACTCCGTAAAGCCAGAGCTGCAAATGCTGAAGCAACAGTGTCCACATTTCCCTGTTCAGTATGTGGCAGAACATTCCGTGCTAACATCGGTCTAATCAGCCATCTACGGACACACTGTTGATGGCCCACAATCCACAAGATGTCAAGGTCTTCATCGAAAAATCGATGGACGAACAACAACAACAAGGGGTTTTACTTATTTTATTTATTCAGTTTATATTGTTGCACCATCCCCTCAAGGTATAAGAAGCATTTATTTTTTCAAGCTCAGTGAAGCTTAGCTTTTTCTAACTTGATTCTTTCAATTTGTCTTGGCAGAATAATTCCCAGAATTCTTTGCAAGCATGGGTTATAATACAATTGCCAGTTTTAGATATGGAGAAAATGTTTTCTGAAATACAGAACACCTCTCCCGCAGACATCAATATACCCAGAAAACTGGTAGTTCAAGTGGTTTCCATCTTAGCTTACTTTTAACATTGCAGTTTTCTCTGAGAATTGGTTTTGTAAGAAAACATTCAGTGATATATTTTCTCATCTGTGTTTTGATTTTCTCATGAGTTTTGATGTAATGAATAATAGCTGGCAAACATTTTCTGAACCAAAAATGAAGTTTTTAATGCTGACTGCCAATTCTGAACAGATTGGATTTAAAATATCTCAAGGCACATATCTCATATATAATTGTTAAGGTCTTTTCTCCATTAAATGCATCTGAAAAAGAAGTGAAGTGGGCATTTATAAAAATTTTCCAAACTGGTAGTCAGATAATATTGAGCTGCAGATAGCCCTGTTCCAGGTGGCCAGATCCCTCTTAGATAAGGAGGAGCCGGGGATCTCTTAAGTGACACTTTGAGGAAAATTTACAGCATTGCTACACAGTTACTTAATTTTGGTCAGAGGCAGACCCCTTCAGGGACGAACCCTCATAGTTTCTATGGGCAGATGGTTATTTATTATAACGTGTAGTAGCTAGTAAACTGTAGTTATGTCACAAGGAAATACTGCTTTTTCAGAATATAGGGTAAACAGATACTTAGAACTAAGGATAAATTTCCTGACAGTTAGAACAGTTAGTGGAATGACTCGTCTCCAGAGGTTTTTAAGAGATTTTACAACCACTTATCTGAAATGATATAAAGTTTCCTGCTTGAGCAGGGGGTTGGATTAGAACAGGGCTTTTCAACCAGTGGTACAGGTACCACCTGTGATACATTGGCACCTGGCAGGTGGTACGCGACCATCCTATAAAAGTGGTAGCGGGGGAGGGGAATGAACTGAACCGGTGGCAGCACCGCACAAGCCTGAGCCAGAGATGACTGGAGCTGCAGGGGTGTCAGGGCTCAGCGGAAGCGCCAGATCAGTGCCATTTTCCAGCTGATTGGCGCTTCTTCGGGGCTGTCAGGGCTCAGTGGAAGCACCAGGATCAGCACCAGGCTCCAGCTGGAGCTCGGTGCTGATCCTGGTGCTTCTGCTGAGCCCTGAAGAAGCACCAATCAGCTGGAATGTTGCAGCATCTCCAGGGTCTTGTGATTTACATTCAGATGCTTGGCAACTGATTCATATTTATGATGGTCACAGTGTCCCAGGGTCATGTGAAGTGACCAAAACCTGCTGCAACCACCAGTAGACGGGGGGGGGAATAAAAGCCAACCCCCCCACCCCACCCCTGCTGCCAATCCTCAACAGAAATGCTCACAACAGGAGGAAGAGCGCCGCAGGATGGGCAGGCAGGTGTCTTGCTTGGCTGTGGCTTGGGGGGGCACTTTTTCAGTGCCATTGTAACTTCGAACAGTCACTAAGCAAACTGTTGTAAGTTGAGGACTACCTGTACTTTATCACTTTTTTCGTTCTTTTTTTTTTTTTTTGGTCATCACGTTTTTAACACCTTGCTAGGCGACTGGTGATACTCGGATGTTGCCATATCCTAAAAGTGATACAATGGGTGAAAAGGTTGAAAAACCCTGGATTAGAAGACCTCCAAGGTCCCTTCCAACTCTGTTATTCTGTTATTTTTACTGAAGTTTACTTCAATAAAAGTTTACAAGCTTACTTTATTTGGGGGCTTGAGCAGGATTATAAACTTTATTAGGGAAAAAAATGAAAACATGCTGACATACTTCTAGCATACTCCCAATAGTCATAAAGAATTTTTTTAAATCTTGGGGGTGGTGGGGGGGGAAGCGCGGAATCACTTGCTCTCCTCTTAGCTTCATCTTACATTTTGCTTTGCTATATGAGTAGTGTAGAATTAAATGGAAAGATTGGATTGGGATGGGGTGGGGTGAGATGAGATCAGATGGCTTGAAAAATGAATGGCAAATGTTTTGTTTGCAAGCCAATTCATTACATTTGTCTGTCTGTCTGTCTCTCTGTGGTGTGTGTATTAGCACACCATTTTGCTGCATTAGTGGGAATAATAAGCATAGCACTTCAGAATCAAAACTGATACCAATAATATAAGTTTGAGAACCTGTGTGGTCTCAACTACAGGTACCAGCATTCTTTGCTGTTAGCTGTCCTGGTTAAGAGTTATATTTCACTATATCCCACTGTGAGATTTCCATGGAAACAGATAATGAAAAAATCCTTTTGTAATAATGTACTGTAGTATTTCCAAGTCTTGTAGCAGAAGCATCAATGAGCCACAAGCACTAATTTTCAGAGGATATCTTATTGAATTTAGCAGCACTCATGCTATGATCTTGTGAGGGGTTTGATATATAATTGATCTAGGCATGGAGACATGATAATGGATTTTAATAAAAGTTTGATTTGATCTAAATTCTCAATTTGATTTTAGACTTTATTTTCATAATTTATGTATTTATATGAACAACGAATCAGAATCATTTTGTATAAAAATATACCTTTACAAATGAATACTCAGGGCTTCATTAATAAATCCAGAAAACCATATAAAATCAAGCATAATTTAAATTGTAGCCATTTGTACATTTTTTAAAGGAGATAATATAAATTTATAATCATTGTACTTAATATTTTCAGTTTATTTTCTAAATTATATATTAATTGCAAATATCTTTTTCTACAAATGATTTGTCACAAAAGTATTAGGAAATAGTCACTGATGCTTCTGCATATCTGATTCCAAGAGCTGAACAGAGAGCATTTTAGACATTGAAGCTCAGTTATGTTTGTATTTGCGTGTGTTGTTTATCTGAAACAAAGCTCAGTATTAGGCACCACTGGTTACTGCCAGCTGGGACCTCACACTATATAGTCACAGCTGTGCATTTAGCATTTATGCCTGCAAAGAATAGCTAATTACAAAAAAAAAGAGGACAAAGAACACTCAGTAGCGTAAGTACAATACCATATCTGTCTCGTAATCATGTATTTTAAAATACTAAAGCAGCATCTAATAGTAGCGACAACTTCAGTTAAACACATTCACCCACTTCATCCTTTTACTTCTAGAATATAATTTTATATAAGTTTTGATTTGATTTCATTTTATTTTACATATTTATTTTTAGGAATACACAAACTGTCCTTCAGAACAGTTTTCAACAAGCAGACTATATTCATTTCAGTGATATCTTGTAGTGGTATCTTACTTTTTTCAAAAAGCTATAGTGATACTCATAGTCCTTTTAACATAGATTTTGCTTTTAAAAAGTCTATGAATTGTGGATGACATCTAGTTTTTCATAGTTCTTGTACCAGTACTTTATTGGTAGAATGTGTTCTAAGCAGTGTTTCTCAACCTGGACAACTTTAAAGATGGGTCCCAGAATTCTCAGCCAGACATCTTTGCAATTTATAATTTCATAATTTTATTGTATGAACCATATTATATTACTTGTCATTTTCTGATATTAATGTTCTGTGTAGAGTTTAACAGAGGTTTGGAGATTGAAGATATTCAAGTATCTTTAATCACTAATAAATATGGCAGAACATAACTTTGGTGAGCTAAAATTAGTCCATCATTTCTTTTTCAGATACTACTTAGCAAAATGTGTGTGTGTGAGAGAGAGATCCTCAGTCCCCCAGGAATGTCACTAATCCTGTTCATCGTCGTAGGCTCTGTCAGCAGAATTTCTGGCAATTCTACCCATGAATCATGAGAAAATTGAGCATTAAAATCGTTCTGGTCAAGATGATTCTGGTCCATACAATTCCAAGATTCCACAGTTACAGCAATAAACATATCAATGCAGAATCACCATGATACAAATATCAGTATTGCCCTCTAGAGACTTGCTGGATATGATGGTAGCAAACTTTATTTATCTAAAGCAGGCATGTCAAACACACAGCCCGCGGGCCGCATATGGCCCATGCAGGCCATCCCCACCCCAGCCCCTCAAGGGCAAAACAAGTCACGATACGGCCCACGATGCAATCGGGTTTGACACCCTTGATCTAGAGTTTTGTCTTTGAGTGATAAATTACTTAACTTGCCATGTACCATATCAACATGAGAAAGTAGTATCCTACCTTAATTGTCTGCCAGATGATCAGAGGGGAATAAACAAAAGTTGTTGAGTTTAGTCACCACATGCATTCAATTATTCAGTCTTGGATATCCTGGCTGGATATTATTCTTACTAGTTTTGTAGTTGGGTGACAGCTACCCGAGTGCCTTTGCAAGTGTAGGTACTGTAGTTCTGTAATTGGTGTGCTCTGTTTTTCATACTTTCCACAGGTATTCATCTTTCTGAACTGGTGGTGCATTCTTTCTGAGTCTCTGAGATTTGCTATTAGAGCATGTTATATACAGTGGAGAAATAATACTAATAACGAATTGTTTACAATGTTCAGGCTGCTGCATGTTTTCAGTCAACCACTTATTGTGAAGTTTCTCTTTGATAGTTCTATACTAGTGGAGTGCATAAACAAGAAGAGTGGCATGAAATTGCCCTCTTTACTCAACCTCTAGCTGAGGATGTGGGATTGGTGTGTGTTACCTGATTCTTCCTTATGGCTATTCATCTTGCAGAGAAAGGGTGTGCTGGCATATGTTCCTAGCTGCGTGAATTAATTACAGTAATTGGTTCTTGGTAGCCTTTTTTATAGATAGGAGATACAAGAAATAAATATTTTGCAATCCATGGCAACATTGATTGTGTTCAATATTTCAGTGGATGGTGGCATGGTCTCAATTCATTTGCAGACACCAGTGTCTCTAGTTATGTTGCAGCTTGATTGCCAAGCTGGTCAAAAAATTCTTTAAGATGACAGCGTGTTCTCATAACTGTGCTAGGTTTGCTAAACCTAATGTATCCCATATATAGCTTTGTATCATGGTCATTCATTTTTCACTTTAGGTATTTCTGTCAGCCTCCCATACTCAAGCTTAAGGCATGAACTGAGCCCATTCAGTACTTTCTCCATGAACGTGATTATACTTTATTATACTTTATAATGTATTAATTATTAATTAATAATTATTAATGCAGCCCAACTTGCAATGATTCTGGATGGCTTACAACAGTAGGGAAATTATAGTAAAACAATAAAAGATAAATATAAAAGATACTCAGCATGAGAAAATAACATGACAGAACAGTAGATTGTGTCTATTGATAAACTTATTATGTATTTAGTTCTTTGAGGTAGTGCATTTTTTATTATTAAGGTAGTCTTGAGCTTTCCTCTGTGCAGGATCAAATTCTACTTAAATTCTTCCTTAAGCCCTCTACAACTCATATCTGGTGATACGTTAGGTCTATTGTTCATTCTGGAAGGATGGGCTTCCCTAAACAATGCAAGTGCAAGTAGCTGTCAAAATAGTGGTTACTAATAGGCTCTGTTAGTATCTGAAAATACATCCCTAGCAATTGGGTATCTGCACCCATTAGACAGATCAATCACTAATAATTGTTTCAGTGCCAGGTGTGCTATTGTGGGATATTTCACATATAGCAATCTGAAGATAACTTTTTAGTTTTGTTAGCCATTTCTGTCTAGACATCAGATTCCACTTTGCAATCTTTGGGTATGTAGTGTTATCCCTTAGTATTTTCCAGATTTCACCCACATTTCTACTTCATTACTCTTATGTCTGAATCAGATACCACACTGAAAGCTAATTGGGTACTTGACTATAATTGAAGTTCTACAAGTCACCTGTGAATTCATAAAATCTACCTACGGTATTCTTCAAGGGACAGTAGCTCAGCTTTGATATTTCACTTATTTTCTTAAACTGTCCAAGTCAAGCCATTTTGAGCATAGGATAAGAGCATCTTAAACAGTAATTGCACTATTTATTGATTGATGAATCTTCAATTAAATACTATATTATTGTTATGACATCACACTCTTATTGGATATGTTTCCAGTAATAAGTTTGTTGATAACAAGCCTATTATTTCCATAGGATCTGCAAACATGGGTGAATGGTGCTAATGAAAATGGCTTTGTCCTTGTATCATTTGGAGCTGGAGTGAAATACTTACCTGAAAATATAGCAGATAAATTGGCACATGCTCTGGCTAGACTTCCTCAAAGAGTAATTTGGAGGTAAGGTATATTAATATCATTATTTAAAATATAAATAAAGTAGGATTGATGAATGTTTTTGTTTTATGGAAACCTGTGGATCCCAGAGCCCGGGGTCTATTGCTTTTCTCACTTGTACATAAAAGTTTCTGTCTCATTCTTGAAAAACTTTCCTTTCTCAGTTTCAGATGTTGTATTTCAATTTCAAGAGCAGTGTGAAATCTTGGGTGAGATGCAGTACTCACCCATTCCATCAGGTTAGAGTCAGTAAGAGTCAGGGGAGCTATTGGCTCCTTTTGCTTCATGAAGCAGTCTACCTGAATGATTATTTTGCTGGATTTTAATAATGCCTAGTGCATTTGCTGAGTGTGATATTGTTAATAGAAAGACTGCTGGAACAAATCAATGCCATAATCCAGGTCAGTCAATATATAGTGACATTTGGATGTTTCTGGTCAAATCATTTAATCTCTAAGTGAATAGAAATTGATACAATATCATGCAAGGTTAAACAAAATATATTTCTGAAAATGTAATATGTATATAGTATATCATTTATATGTATCTGTTAACATTCAGAATTAAAAATTGGTGAATATAAAGCAGGTATCTGAAATGAGCTGCCTTTGCAGTTGATTCAGCACTATTTTTGTTTTAGTGTAAAGTTGTTAATCTTCTAACGGTGTCTTATCATTGTTGGGGGTATTATTAGAAGTGATTAAGGAGTAGTGCCAGAACTGTATGTCAGGAATATAATTCATGGTCACCATAAAAACTATCCCAGCTGCTGAACTAAAGTAAGCAATCTTTGTTTGAATCTTTATTTGAAAATCTCCAGTAATAGACATCCAAAACTTGAATAGGCAAGCTATTCTATGTTTTATAGCTCGCACAATCAGGAAATTCCTATTAATTTCAAATTAGGATACCTCTCTTTAAAGCTTCCACTTATTGTTTTTTGTCCTATCCTCAGGCACTATGGAAAATAAATCTTTATCTTCTTCCATGTGACAGTCATTCAAGTATAGAAAAACTATTATCATATCTCCCATTAGCTTCTTGTTTTATGCTGAACCAGCAATGGTGAACTTTTAGGCTAACTTGAATTCCCCCACCTCCCAACAAAAGGGAAACAATTCTCCATCTCCCTTCTATCTAGGCCACTCTGAACAACAACACTCAGCAGCAATGCCAAGGTTGGGCCCAAAGTAGAGACCCTGGACTCAACTTCAACCCCAGCAACCCCCAGGCCACTGAAAAAGACCACCTCATGCTGTTCCCCAAGGTATGCAAGCCTTGGGGAATGGTACAGTTGTCCCATGGTGTAGCACTCTCCAGGATCTGCAGCATGCCACTTAACTTTCAGGTGGTGTTCTTTTTCTGTTCACAGGCCCTTGCAGGCTACTCAAGGCTGTTCCATATTACACAAGGCCTTTGTTCTTGAGGCAGCTTCAGAGAATACTGTTTTGTGGCCTCTGTAGCTTTTAAAAACGTGTGAAATGGAAAGTACACCCTATTCTTGCATAGTTTTTCAAGGCTCCAGGGACGGCAAGAAGAGCATGAGCCTCTTTTGCGATTTCTGTAGGATCCGGAGGCTGCATGAGAGCACACCTCACACAGCTTCCTTAGCCTTCAAAAATTAGAGAATGGAGTGTGGTTTTGAGAATAGTTGTTAGGTGTTGGTGAACGCTGATGGCTCATCCAAAACATCATGGCATGCCAACTTTGACACACGTCATAGGTTTGCCATCACTGTGCTAAACTTACCAATTTAAAAAAATCTATTCTTCATAGGATTTAGCTTCCAAACCCCTCGCTATCTTTGGTGCCTCCAGTCTTTCCAGTATCCTTGCATTGGGAAGACCAAAACTGGACAAAACATTCTAGATGTGGTCTGACAAGTACAGTGTGAAATGGAATTATCAATTCTCATATTTACCTTATGCTTGTGCTTAATCTATGACCTGTGAGGACACCAAGATATTTCTCACAAGTCCTATCACTGAGTCAGGCTCACCTCTCTTATACTTGTATATTTTCTTTTTTATTTCTTAGGTACAGAAGCCTATATTTCTTGCCAGTGAAATCTAGGATTCTGTACCTAAGAAATAAAAATGATTGTGTTAGTAAAGGCCCATGTTCAAGTCTATTAACATTATTTTGAACCATGAGCCTGACCTCTGAGGCACTAGCAACACTCCATTTCACCCCAGTTTCTGTCATCTGTTGAGCATCCTTTCTGTTCCCTCATTTAAATCATACTTACATATATACAGTACATATAAATAAATAAATAAATAAATATTATTGGGCCCAGCATACCTCCTCCTCATTAAGGACCATTCATTTAGTATGGTTATTCAACCAATTGGAAATTCATCTAGCAGCAATACCATCCATCCATATTACTCTTTCAGGAAGACAGGCAAGTTTATCAGATGCCACATAAAGTTTTGGTATACTATTGTACAGTATTCCCCAGGTCCTTTAATCCAGTTGCTTTGTCAAAAAAAGCAGTAACATTTGTCTGGCAGTACTTATTTTTAACAAATCCATACTGGTTGCCAATCACTTTCATTCAGGTTTCAGACTTGGCATGAGACTGAAACACTATTGGCTGTGTTTTTGGATGACCTGTGGCAGGAGCAGGGTTGGTGTAGTACATTCATCCTCTCATTACTTTATTTCTTGGCTACCTTCAATACTGTTGGCTATAATATACTTCTGGACCAGTTGCAGGGGTTGGGGGTAGACAGCACTGTATTGCACTGTTTTTCTTCCTTCCTTGGTGGTTGGTTCCAGTAGTGTTGATCAGGAGTGAGAGATCCACCCTTAGCCCTATTTTGTGGGGTTATGCAGAATTCAGTTCTCCTGTTTAACATTTACATGAAGTTGTTGTGGGTGAGTTTATCTGTTGCCATGGAGCGAGGTTTTAGTATATTACTGATAACCAGCTGTACATCTCACATCTGGTGAGTTAAGTGATGCTATTGAGGTCCTTTTTTAATGTTTGGAAGCTGTTTTTGAAGTTATTTGGGGAATATCATGCTTCAGCTCAACCCTAACAAGACTGAATGGCTTTAGGTTTGGGGAGGGTTTCAGAAGTTACCCTCCTTAGTGCTGTTGTTGGGTTTTTTTACCTTCCTATCATGACACTGAATCTGGATATGTAATTAGAAAGGAAGTATTAGTAGATAACTTTAGAATGTTGTGCTTGGTGTGGGGTATGTTGTGTTTGAAGCTGTGATAATCCCTGGAGATCATTTACCAAGCAGTGGGAATTATCTGGCCTGAACAAGTAACAATTTTGGTTCGGCAATCTGGTGGCTTGGGGGAGTGTATGTGGCATGACAGTCCTTTTACCTGCTGAGGTGGGCCTGGAAGATTGGAGCTGGTGGTGAAGGCAGCTGGGTTGGACCGATGGTGGTAGATTCTGATAATTGTGGCAGTGGCATTGCCTAGCACAGGAATAGCTTTGAGTGGCTGGCAGGGATGAGAAATCCAGAGGCTCCCTGAGAGAAAAGTCCTCCACTGACTTTCAAAGACTGTACCAGAGATGAAGGTGGCAGAACAGTCGAGGTATGAGAGATGGCTACACATTTGTTGTCATTGTGGGGAGGGGAACAGAGAGTTGCTATGATGGATGCAGGACAGATTAGGTTGGCTGTGGCCACTGAGACCCATGTGGCTGCACTATTACCCCCATTAGATTGGTAGCTATTTTACCTCCACTCCAGTTGCATCTGGCTGGCATTTTGAGGCTCTCCACATGGTTTATCTTAGTGGAAGACTATGCAGTTAAGAAAGCCTTGTAAAATGACTGGCTAGGGTGGATTTAATATCAGGTGGAAGATTTTTGATTGATTAATGGAGTAGTTGTTATACTATAGCAGTCTAGTGAGAGGAGATTAGCTGGGGGTACTGTAAAGTTGATATTGGAATGACTAAAATTAATTGCCTAGAGGTGCTGAGTGCTAGGCACTGACATTAAGAATCCTTGGTTAGTTGAATGGTGGGAGAGAGGAAGGGAACAATGGGCTAAGACAGGTGTGTCAAACTCGATTTCATTGAGGGCCACATCAGGGTTGTGGTTGACCTCGGGGAAATAGGGGTGTGTGGCCAGGGGGGGCATAATGGGTGGGCATGGCCAGCTCAACATTCTCGTGTCGGGGGGCATCTGTGGTGGCCCAGGCGGGGCTGAGGGGATCCATTGTCTCCAGTCAAGGAAGGCGAGACCAGGGCGAGCACCATACCCCTGTCCACCAGAGGAGCCTTGCTGTCCCTCTCAGGCCATGCAGAGGACCCCCAGTGATGCAGGTTGCCCAGAGCCCTGGGCAGTGGAGGGAAAGCACCCAGTCCAGCCTTTCCTAAGGGAGCGCCCAGCTGCACTTACCTCCTCCTCAAGGCTGCTGCTAATTGGCTCGCTCTCCTTGGCCAAGTTGCTCATGGTATGTGAGGAGGGCAAAATGTGTGGGTCAGAGGGAGGCCCACTCCCTCTCCTTGTGAGGAGACCCAGCTTTGTAACCAAAGCATTCTCAGTGATAGGATGGGAGACCACCAAGAGAGGTCAGGAGGAGGGGACAAGGTGATGGTGAAAGGGCAGCAGGGTTGCTCATGGCCAAGTGTTAAGGCAGGACTTCTCTCAGACCCTCCCTCTCATTATAATCTTCCTTCCTTCCTTTCTTTCCCACTTTTCTTCTTTTCCTTCCCTCTTCATTCTCTTTTCCTTCTTCTTCCTTCTGCTCTTTCCTTCTTTTTGTTTGTCTTTCCTCTTTCCCTTTCTCCTTTCCTGTCCCTTCTTGGATGCTCAAATGAAAAAGGGGAAACATTTCTCGATGCCTCCTTGCCTTGTGATCAAATGCCACTTTTGCTAGTAGTCTGTGGCCACTTAAAAGACTGAGAACAAACCAGGCTCAGTTTATCCCATGCTTGCATTTAGTGGAGGCATCCACAGACAACAGTACAGCAAAACTGTCAAAATGGTGGCTGTGATAGTTGATCAGAGCTCCTCTGGTTTTTATGTGCAACAGCTTTAGCATTTAGGAACAGAGGTAAGTTAGTTGCTTTTCTATTAATACATAATCCTTAAAAGGATTCTCCTGTAGGGACCCTGCTATGGTCTAATTCAGACTCGAAATATAACAAAAGAAAATATTTTCCCCCACTCTGCTTTGTCCTGTTTTATCTACTGGAACTGGCTGTTTGCAACACACAAGGAGGGGATACTTTCCTAAGAGCTCACAATTCAAGAATACCAGTGTTAACTTGGATTGCCAACAAAGTCCTGTCTGTGACAAAACAGAACTCAAAATTGCTTTCTCCTTTGAATCCAAGTCTCAATGGATCCAGGATTGAAGTAGAACTGCGTGAACTGGGGCATCTTCAAACAAGTTGTCACTCCTTCCTTCCTTCCTTCCTTCCTTCCTCTTTCTCTCCCTCCCTTCTTCACTGCCTTCCTCCTTCTCATTTCCATCTCCTTCCTTCCTTCCTTCCTTCCTTCCTTCCTTCCTTCCTTCCTTCCTTCCTTCCTTCCCTGCTTCTCATTCCCATCTCTTTCCTTCTTCTGCGCTCAGGAAGGAACGATGTGTGTGGGGAGATTATCAGCGCTGCCGGTGGCCATGCTGCCACCAGCCGTCGCTATCCCACGCAGGCGGGGGCGGTCCTGGTGAAAGGGAAGCTTCATGGCTGCAAGGCTAGGGCCATGGAGGTGCTGGTGGGAGGGAGGGTGGCACTGATCTACAACCTGGTTGTGTCCATCAAAGCCAAAATGTGTTCAGCCTTAGATCCACAGGGCAGCCCTGGAACCAGAGAGGGACTGCCCCACCGCCTCTGCCCAATCCCTGGGTGTGTGCACAGGAGACGGTGAGCGCTGCTGTCCTGGGTGAAGTCAGCCTGCGGGGTGAGACAGCCAGCAGGGACTGATTTGATTTCTCCCCTTTCATGGTCATACCACTCCGTGGTAATCTCCAATTCTTTGGTGCCACCACTCTCCATAGGAGGTTGGGCCTATTTGAACACCTCGTCCCAGATGACTAATGGATCCAATATGTGTATATGTATATATGTACATATACACATTGAGCAAATGTATACATATACATATATACATATA